TTGGGAAAAATTTTATCGTGAAGGAAGCTGAGGTTTTGAGAAAAGGATCCATACATTCTCATTACATTTTTACATGTCCGGTACCATGGCACATGCTCACAAAATCTGAGAGATGCCAGGTTTTATGGCTGATTAAAAATCACCATGGATTATCATGGAATGATGGACACGTTTCATATTGAAAGTCGAAACGTTTAATCACGACGGTGGTGATGGGTGTAACGGAGGAGGATGATGCGTCACCTCTCGTTAAAGGATACGGAAAACGGCAATGGCTGGCCGATATACTGGACAATGATGCGAGAAACGAAGTGATTATCGAAACTTTGGATGCAGACTATGAGGATATAGCTTCTTTAAATAAGTTAGATGTTAAGAATATTATGCGTTGTGAAAATCATGTAAAAAATTGCGCTCTACAAAATGTATTTAGAGAGATTAATATTTATAATTGGTGATTGAAACATCATGATGATGATTCTTCGAATCCATATTTATAATAAATTGATGATGCGATATATTTTTATCGTCTTTCTTATTCTCTCCGTTCCTTCCTCATGCCTATCTATGTACGCGCAGTATCGTGTTTCCGTACGTGACACAGCTGCCACATATATTGTATTTCGATACTACATTGTGATACATTGTAATACATTTAAATATTTGTTTGATAATTGAATATAGTTTCGCGTTTGATTTTTGTTTAACGGGCGTTGATTTTCGTTCGATGACCGTTCAATTACCGTTCGTTTCCGTTCGACGACCGTTCATTTCTGTTCGATAATCGTTCATTTCCGTTCGACGACCGTTCATTTCCATTCGATAGCAGTTCGACGATCGTTCGTTTCCGTTCAATTACCGTTCGTTTCCGTTCAACAGTCGTTTATTTCCGTTCGACGGTCGTTCGTTTCCGTTTGACGATTGTTTGATGGCTGTTCAATTACCGTTCGACGGTCGTTCGATGACCGTTCGTTTCCGTTTAATTACCTTTCGTTTCCGTTTGACGACCGTTCGATGATCATTCGTTTCCGTTCAACAGTCGTTTATTTCCGTTCGATGGTCGTTTGATAGCCGTTCATTTCCGTTCGATAACCATTTGATCAGGGTTGACACATTATATAGTGCTAATTTGCATGGGAACATGCATACTTTTGTCTTACAACGCGTTTTTGGTAAAGCTGTAACGGAGCACCTTTCCCGACACCGCGGATCGGCTCGTCGGAGTCAGGATTCAGGAGAAGGGGAGGCTCAGACTCGCAGAACTACACGTGTACGGTTTAACAGAAAATTTATTTATTCAGATTATAAATCAGGGTTTATTAGAATAAGCAGGCAAGGCTCCGGATAATGAGCCGCGCGAGAATAAAATCCAAAAAAAACTTAAACTACGGATTATGTACATGCCTTATTTTAGTAATTAATTACAAAGGGTCGCGCCTAAATCTAGAAAAGTATTTATAAAGCGGTTGGTGCTCAAACACCACATAACGCGTACGACTTCTTCACGGGTACGAACGCGGAAGAGAAAACCCACGGGTGGTCGCGTGCAACGAGGCACGGACGCAGGCCTAGCAGGGTCTCAACCGAAGTCGGCTGAGGACAGGAGCACCCGTCTTCAGGGTGACGTACACGGGTGCCCCGTGGTACGCCGGGATACTGGACGTCTGTACGGTGCAACCGACCGGGCCCGGTAGCAACCAGGCTCTAGACCAGGGGAATTAATCAGGGCCCCAAAGTAAAACTCGCAATTCGGTGCGGTGCGAGGCGAGCGATACGTTAGGCAGCTGCGAAAAGAAAAAGGAGAGTCAGCTAGGGATCTAGGTTAGTGGAGACCAACTTTATTAACAACAGGTCGTCGCTCGAGAAGCCGTGAAAACGGCTGGTATTCCGAGGGCGGGCGGTCGGTGTCCAAAGACCCGGGGTGATGGTTGTCCTCCAGTGTCGAAGATACGGCGCTCGTCCAGGAGCCGTGGGCAACGGCTATCGTCCGGGAGCCGTGGAAGCGGCTAATCCTCCAATGCCGTGGATACGGCGCTTGTCCAGGAGCTGTGAAAACGACTATTCGGGGCGCGAGGTTGAGAACCGGACCGTTCCGGGCGTCGGTTGCAACCGACCGAGTACGGGAGCGCCCGTACCCTGGATCGGATCGTCCTTGGCTCGACAGGAACTCCTGGTTATTGGGTTCACCCGACCGGGCACGGTAGAGACCGTGCTCTGAACCAGGGAGCGAGGATAGGAGCTCGGTAGGCTTCGATTGCCCAGGGTGCGCCCTGTGGCTTCGAGCGTCCCGAGAGTCGGAACAGGAATAGGTAGCGATCTGCCGGAGCGGCCGCCTTATATACCCGGCTGTTACCTCCCCGCGATATCCCCACGCGGTCATGCGCGTAGCGGTGGGGTAGGCCGTGATCCTCAAACAGCGGCTCCTAATCCGCGGCTCGGTTGAGGTGCTCAATCGGCGGCGCTTGGCGCCAAATTGGCGCAGCGCAGTCTTAGTAACGGCCTTGTCGTTACAAAGCGATAATAATACGTCCCTATTCTAAAGTTTCGTATTGAGACATTTGTCTGCTCACAAAGTCGCGATATGATAATATTATATTATACCACGCCGAGTTACGTGGGACCGCGCGTACTTTTGTCTCACGACGCGTTTTTGGCATGGTGATAATGCGGCATCTCTATAAAATCCCGTGCCGGGACCTCGTTGCCGCATCAGAAAGTTTCAGAGAGTGCGCGAGAGTGCAAAGTGTGTCACGAGTGTGTTTTTAACAATATAACAATGGATCATTTTTAGATAAAGATTGGAAAACAAAATTATTAGATATATTTTGCATCGTCGTGTTAAACATGACTTTTTCATGGAACGTAAGTAGTGTTTTGTGATTATTTTATGAAAAATTGTGAAAAATTTTGTATTTTTTTAAATAAATATTTTTTGTAGTTCCAGGATGAGGTTCAAATACCAGGTTTTGTAAATATACGCCACCGCCAGTGGGTGCGGGCGGTGCGCCAGGCAAGAAAGGAGGATTTCTCCTACATGTGGGGCGACACCACGGAGAGTCGCCATCGCCAGTAGATGATATTTTTGACCTGCGACGGCTCTTCGGGGAAGAGCCATATGATATTATTATAGAAGAGGAAGAAAATTGGGAGCAAGAAGAATGGAATATTGGAGAAGAGGAGCAGGAGAAAGATGTGGTGGAGAATAGGGAGCTGGAGGATAAGGAATGGATAGACAGATGTAAGTATTTTTTGTAAATCTGATCATAACTATGCTTGTATTAATCCAATATCCTTTTTCTGTTACAGGAGCGGCTCCCCCAGACCCGGCGCACCGCCCCCCCAAATTAATTTTATATATTTTATTATATTTTATTATGTCATTAGATATTTTATTATATTTTATTATATCATTATATATTTTATTATATTTTATTATATCATTATATTTTATATTTTAAACTTTATTCTTTATTCTTAATTTTAAGTACACACACACATACGCGCGCGCGCGCGCACACACACACACACACACACAAATTGTAAAATACACACATTTTTAATAAATTTTATATTTTAATTTAAAAAAAAATGTGATTATTTACACGCCTCTCCTTGCGTTCTCATCCCTACATCTCTCTCGCGCTAGTTATAAGTATCGCGATGTCTTCGTTGCGCCAATTGTAAGTTTCTTTCATACACGCTATCGTAGCGCTGTCCTTCTCACACCACCGTCTTCTTTCCGCGGATCCCCCTTCACCTCGCGGACCCCCTTGTCAATCACTCGCGCCGCGGATCGCCCTTCCCCGCGCATGACGTCACCCCCGCGCGCCGCGGTTCCTCCTTTCCCGTGCGTGACGTCACTCCCCCCCCGCACCGCGGTTCCCCTCGCGCCTCACCCTCCCTGAGAGGACCTGAGTTAAATAAATTTGTCTCTATGTATTGGGCGCCCGAAGTCGTCTCGAAATCCTATTCGAATTATGTAAAATGTAGCGCGTGAAAGATGAGACGGGGCCGACAAGGGATGGAAAGAGACATGAGCTTTACGATAGAAAATCACCGCTCGCCTCATGCCTACCGCCGCGTGATTTGCCATCATTAATGACACAAAAGCAGAACGATAGATAGGCTCTTGTCTAACTCTCATGTCCATCTCATGTGAATAGTTCGGATATGATCCATAGCCCGGACATGAACCATAGCTCAGACACGAACCATAGCTCAGATACGAACCATGTATTATTATCGACTGTAATGGATGTAGTTGACGTCCACTTTGTCAGGCGGCGCATTAGCACAATGTGCTCGTTAAAGCGAGGTGGCCGGTCTCAGGTTTCTCTCTGGTTTAAGGATTACAGAATAAAGAGTTTGTTCGTAATTACACGTGTAGTTCTGCGAGCCTGAGCCTCCCCTTCTCTCGAACCCTGACACCGGCGAGCTGATCTGCGGCGTCGGGAAAAGTGCTCCGTTATAATTTATATATCTCAATGAAAAAAATCGTGCGGCGGTAATGGAAAGTGGATTTAAAAGGTGAAAATGCCATTGGCAGAAATATTTCAAAAAATTTGGTTGAACCCTACAATAAATTTATGAAATTGACCAAAATAGAAATTTATAAGCCATTCTATTACAAATTACTCGAAAGCCTGACGTTCTGAGGAAATTCTGCGGTCAGATTCGTTTTCAACGTAACAAAATCTATCAGATTCACTTATTCTACTTTTTATAACTGAATTTCGCAGGCCTGTGTTATTATACAATTTAAAAAATAAGTAAAAATTATTATATATAAAAAAATGATGAGTTTTTATATTTTAAATTAAGATTTAAATTTATTTTACTTAAAAATCGGAATTATCATTGCCATTTTAATGAAAAATGTACAATAGATAGAAACACATTGAAGTAATTACAAAGTATTTATTCGTTCTAAAATCCATTCTAAAATTCTCTTTTGTTAATATAAATCATAAAAAAATGAAATAATCTTTGATTAAATTAGATTGTATTATATATTAATAGATATCTTTTCCATTTATGTATTAATAACATTCTTAATTGGTACTCAAATGCAATAAATTTTTTAAAACTTCATTGTCGTTCATGATATCACATACTTAAGTCCATAACGCAGTTGGCATCATTCCTTCTACCGTAACAGCGGCAGGTTTTAAATCTTCATTGCATAAAAAATGTAATGGAAAATCGACCAAGTGACCCTAAACGACATTCTTTTAATATAAAAAAACAAACGATACATAAGTATTTTAAAGATTTACTTACCTTAATATTTTCCACTATTTCTTGTGCTAATAATGGTTCAGATAATGAGATAGGTATTTTATCTTGATATTGTTTCAGCATAGATAAATTAACTACTTTATCAGTGGGAATACACTGAAATACTTCTTCGTATATTTCTGTATTTTGTTTGCTTCTAGCGCACCATATGTCCTTGTAAAAGGATTTAATAATAGCGTCATCGATGTTGATATCTTCTTTAGTTTTTAATAGTCCCAAATGTTCGCGGAATAATTGTTTTCTTAAAGAAGAAGCAAATTTGCCACAAAGAAAAGGTATATTATTCATGCATCCATCTTCAAATTCTTGATCCTGTTTACAATTATAACTTTTATTAATTTATACCGATATATGAAGAAGATACAGAACGAAATGTGATAAAATTAACAACTCGTTTCATCAAATATTATAACATAAAAATAACAAAATATTATAACAATATAGATCAAAGATATATATATTAAATGTAACATCAAATCTAAGGTTACGTTCCAAAACGCAAGTAACCGAGGAAAATTTTACTCGATAGCTGATTTGAACCAATCGGAAACGCTTAAAAGAATTTCGGAAGGCTAGCGAGTAAAGTTTTCCTCGGAGAGTACGTTTTGGAACGTACCCTAAATAAATATTAAAATGTTCTGTTGCAAAATTCGCGTGTGTATATATATTATTATATAAAATAAATAAAAATAATCAACTCTCACATATCGATAATTTATATGTAAAAATAATGTTTTTGCTATTAGGAAAAAAAGTATAATTGTTTGGAATTTACTATTGATAAAAGTCATTATTCAGTAAACACGGTTTATTAAAATAATATAACATAGTAGTAAATAAATATCTAGAAGTGCCATTCTAACAAAAACTCAAGTTTTTTATAGCAATTAACAAAATTATATAAATCATAAAAATAAAATGTACGTAAATTTTTAGGAGAAGAGCAAGTCTTTATTAAAAAATATTTACTGAAAATTAGGGGTGACCTTACCAATTATCAAAATAATGTTGATGTGAAATCCTGCTTTGTTTGGAGAAAATCATATAAATCTATCTCATCTAGAATTGTATATTTTTAATTTTATATCGAAATGATGAGCAATATCATGTCTCTTATATTTGATACTTAAAGCTGAGCAATATTTAAAATTTATCGGAGAACACTCGCTCTTTTTTTTCATAATATATTTTAAAATGATTGAAATCAATGAGATCATCTTTAATATTCAATGTTACCAATATTATATACAGGGTGTTGAAAAATTAAGTGCCATAAATTTGTGTGATGAAAGAAGGAATCAATATAAGCATTTTAAGTATAGGAACCGTGGGTCGGCGACGCTTACTTACGGCGTGACAAGGGTTTAATTAAATTGTCACAATGTCTGCAATACAATGATTTTATTCGGTTAATTTTAGATGTTTATAATAAATGTTCGAAATTACGACCGCCAACGTTCCGACAAAAATCAGAACGACTTTACGGCTGAAGCACGCAATCATCTGACAGAGACTTTTGGCAACAGATGGATCGGGCGGGGTGGACCTGTGGGCCTGCAAGGTCACCAGATTTGACGCCTCTCGATTTCTACTTCTGGTGCAATGAAAAATATGATTTATTCCGAACCGGTTGAATCCGAGGAGGATCTGGTCGCTCGTATCGTTGAGGCGTCTGAAACTATCCGACAAACTCCTGGAATATTCCAAAGAACGCGGGAATCATTGCTCCGTCGTTCTGATTTTTGTCGGAACGTTTGCGGTCGTAATTTCGAACATTTATTATAAACTTCTAAAATTAACCGAATAAAATCATTGTATTGCAGACATTGTGAAAATTTAATTAAACCCTTGTCACGCCGTAACTAAGCGTCGCCGACCCACGGTTCCTATACTTAAAATGCTTATATTGATTCCTTCTTTCATCACACAAATTTATGGCACTTAATTTTTCAACACCCTGTATATACAGGGTGGGGCATTTATCTTGAGACATCGAAATATCTCGTAAAGTCTAAAAGATACGAAAAAATGTTTCAGACAAAAATTGTATGGTTTCAATGGGGACATAAGATTGTGTCATTAGTTTGATGTTGAAGAGCCATCTGAAGGTTACATAAAGGTCATCTCCAACTTTTTAAATGGGACACCCTATATGTTTTTGCATATTCCTGTAGCTCATCTCGAGAGCTTTCCAAAACACTATAATTAAGTTAGTTTTCATTAAGTACTTTCCGAGTTATGAGGCTTGAAATTATTTCTTAATTTTACATAAACCATAAAATACCTAGTAAAATATTAATTTTTCGGTTCTTACCTTAATGCTTTTATGTACAAAATAATGAGAGAAATCAATTGGTGTAAAGAAAACACATAGTTATTTTTAAGAAAAAATAATTAATTGTTAGTTGCAAATTACATATTTTTTCTTAAAAATAACTGTGTTTTCTTTCCACCAATTAGTTCCTCTCATTATTTTGTACATAAAAGCATTAAGGTAAGATAATCGAAAAATAAATATTTTACTAGATATTTTATAGTTTGTGTAAAATTAAAAAATGATTTCAAGCCTCATAACTTGGAAACTACTTAATGAAAACTAACTTAATTATAGTGTTTTGGAAAGCTCTCGAGATGAGCTACAAGAATATGCAAAAGCATATAGGGTGTCCCATTTAAAAAGTTGGAGATGACCTTTATGTAACCTTCAGGTGGCTCTTCAAGATCAAACTAATAACACCATCTTATGTCCCCCTTGAAACCATACAATTTTTGTCTGAAACATTTTTTCGTATCTTTTAGACTTTACGAGATATTTCGATGTCTCAAGATAAATGCCCCACCCTGTATATATATATATATATATATATATATATATATATATATATATATATATATATATATATATATATATACAGAATTAGGAAAAAGTCTGGATCCCCCTAAATATTTCGAAAAATATGCTTTTTAAAAAAATGTTTCATACAAAAATTATATATAGGGTTTTATGTGGCGCATTACACAACAACATTATTATGATCTCGAATAGCGTTGTCAAGGTTATGTGAAGGTCAGTTTCAATTTTTTAAATAGAACCTCCTTTTCATTGCATATTCTTGTAGCTTACCTCAAGAGCTTTCCAAAACACTATAATAAATTATTTTTCCATGAAGTACTTTTCGAGTTATGAGGCTTGAAATCATTTAATTTTACATAAACCATAAAATATCTTGTAAAATATTCATTTTCCGATTATCTTACTTTAATATTTTTATGTACAAAATAATGAGAGGGATCAATTAGTGTAAAGAAAACACATAGTTGTTTCTAAAAAAAAATATGTAATTTGCAATTAACAATTCCATATTTTTTCTTAAAAACAACTGTATGTTTTCTTTACACTAATTGATTCCTCTCATTATTTTGTGCATAAAAGTTTTAAAATAAGGTAATTGAAAAATGAATATTTTACAAGATATTTTATGGTTTATGTAAAATTAAAATTATGTAAAATTAAGAAATGATTTCAAGCCTCATAATTCGAAAAGTACTTCATGAAAAAATAATCTATTATAGTGACAACGCTATTCGAGGTCATAATAATGTTGCTATGTAATGCGCCACATAAAACCTTATAACTTTTGTATGAAACATTTTTTTTTAAAATGCGTATTTTTCGAAATATTAAAGGATATCCAGACTTTTTCCTAATCCTGTGTATATATATATATATATATATATATATATATATATATATATATAGTATAATATTATACATACACATATTCACTATTTATATTACATATACATTCGAAAAATTGTCCACTCATATCTTGTATGGTTGAAAGATTATACGACTTGCTTTTTTGTAATGAGGATACAAGATGAAATAAGGCTATGGTAATGATAAGTACATATACTTACACGAATTATTACGGCTATTTCGCTGTCTCTTGTAGCAACCATACTTCTATCATTTATATTAGCTGATCCACAGATTACTGTGTTATCATCTATTATTATTAGTTTGCTGTGAACATAGATAAGTTCTGTTATCATTGTACCATTTAACATGGAATGTGTCCTCAAACCATGGAATGTAATGTATTCACTAGGATCTTCTATACCTGCTTCTATAAGTTGATTTAGAATAGCATCCTTTCCCCTGTCATTAAATAAAATAGAAAAAAATTTATATGTACAGGATGTTTCATAAGTGGTAGGCAAAATTTCAGGAATGGATTCCTTATGCTTAGAGAAGGAAAAAAAGTTAATCAATATAGGTCCAGAAATGATTAGTTTTCAAGTTATTAAGATTTTGGACAATTAGAGGAAATGTTCAATATGTCCACCTCCTGTCGCAATACAAGCCTATCAATCGTTGTTGTGAGACGCGTTAAATGATACTAAACTTGAAAAATGTTTCAGTGCTCTTGACACACGTACGGCAGAGTGTTCGTGTATACATGAAAAAAGTATGGAATTGTAAACAAGAATAAGAATAATCCACCGCACTAACATAAACATACGCCGCCGAACTTGAAAAACATTGTTGATGCCTGTAAAAGGACTTCTAAGATGAGAAATGAGACAAAATTTTGTATTACAAAAATCTTAATAACTCAAAAACTAATCATTTACGGATCTATGTTAATTAACTTTTTTTTCTTCTCTAAGCATGAGGAATCCATTCCTGAAATTTTCCCCACCACTTATAAAATACCTTGTACACTATATTTTTTAATTAATTGTTTCGAAGAAAAAATATGTAATTGTTAATTGCAAATTACATATTTTTTCTTCGAAACAACTATGCATTTTCTTTACATCAATTGATTCCTCTCATTATTTTGTACATAAAAGTGTTAAGGTAAAATAATCGAAAAATGAATTTTTACTAGCTATTTTAGGATTTATGTAAAAGTTAAGAAATTATTTCAAGCCTCATAACTCGAAAAGTACTCAATGAAAAAATATTTTATTATAGTGTTTTGAAAAGCTCTTAAGTAACTACAAGAACTTTTTTTGGCAACAGATAACCCTGTAGTGCAATCTCTGATTGGTCTGCGCTTAATAGTATACTAAATGTTCATAACATAAAATGCACATAATTCTTTTTGCTGAACTAGCTGCACTAGTTTAGAATTTATTTTTTCTTACTCCATTAAAAGGAAAAGGATAAACTCTGAATTGTACAGTACAATTAGTTCAGCTACAAGAAACAGATTTTTTGTTTTTTTTTTTTCAATATGTGGCCACCAATGATGTTCGCAAAGAAACAAAATATAGCAAAAAGTGTTTCGACTCATTAAATACTGCGAAGTCTTTATCTTTTGTGTAAGACACGCACGTATGCATACACAATGTGCAAAATCCGACCAGCAATCTCCATGTGATACACATTAGACACTAAAGTGTTATTTAAAAACATAATACAAAGTTGATTTTAAAACCATGTAAAAAAAAATCAAAAAAAGATTTAAAAAAAATTGTTCTTACATTTTTTTGAGGAAAAAATTTTTTATCAAGTTGCAAAATATATCAAAAATATGTAATTTTAAGGAAAAAACTGTGTCCCTATTTAAAGCATGTAAGATAAAAAATTTTTAAATATTATTGATAGTGCGTTAAAATTGCAACTTCAGATTACAAAATGCTTTTTAATTTATTGTCTATGATTTTCTGTCGAATTTCAGCAATTTGGAAAAATAGACCTATTTTTAGCATATAAAGTGTTCTTTCTTTTGTTTTTTAGGTAGTGTACATATAAATAACTAAAGTTTTTTCACATGCGATCATATTTGATAATATGAATTATAGTAAAATATATCAAAAATTTGATTAATTTTGAATTAATATTTAGCCCATCTGTTACTGCGCGTAATTTATCATTAGACACTATTGTGTTTTCTGACTGTACCTCGATATAGAAGCATAATTCCAATGTGTTATCGCCCGTAATGCTGTTCCGCTTGGTCCCCCAACTTCTCCTTCAAAACCTGGTAATAAAGGCATTACGACAAATACCCTGAACACCGACCCTTCTCTATGCGCTCTCAAGATTCTTTTTAATAATGTCTCACCAATTCGATTTTTTACATTACTTTTATCCATGGAGGCAAGCGTTATAAAAAATTGATTTTCTATGTATATATACCTACAAAACTATGTAGATTAATAAAATGTAACAAAAAATATGATGAAATGCAAAATCTTACCTTTCAGCTTTACTGATGGCGTGGATATAAGCTTCTTGTATGCTCTGCTCTACAGTTTCCGGATCAAGGAAACCAGTCGACCAAGAACTCACTGATCGCAATACTTGACACTTGACATTGTACTTATTTACTTCTTTGATAAATGGAGCATAACTCCTACAATGTTTGTATGATTTTGGTAGTAAGTAAGGATAACATGGATTTTGATTTGCTTTTTCTAACTATAACAAATATTTTATCAATATACTATTTCTTCAATATATCTAAGAATTTAAGTATGTATATTACTAAGTGTCATGTACTTTGGCAGCATTCCAACGTTGTATAAAATGTCTGGCTACATCCCTAGCAGCAGAATTCTGCACTAAAATTCCTATATCGTGCCATGGCATTCTCGGAGTAGTAGTTCTATCTATCAGATCTTGATATGGTTTTTCAAGATCGTTAAAATCTTTAACAATGAAATTTGTATAATCTTTACCAAGCCACAATTTTGTAGTAGGTTTTAAATTGCAGACATAATCTACTGTATCTTCAGATTGCGATATCTCTTCACTAAATTAAAACAAATTATATTATGTAATTAAAACAAAAAGAAAAGTTAAATAATAACTAAATAATTAAATAATAATAAAGAATGATCAGTACTTATCAACATCTTCATTGGCACCTTCTTCGTGAGAACTATACATTATATCAATTAATTCCTGTCTTTTTTCTCGTACGGTGTTTTTCACTTTATCGACAGTTGTTTTCGCCATATCAAATATATTTTTTCTTTGTAATTCGGGAGTATTACATTTTACATTATTTTCTTTTTCTTGCAACATAAAAAATGAATTATCTATTAACAAATCTGTTGATGTTTGAACCTTTTGTGTTTTGTTATCCATATGTATCATTGGTCTATAAAAATAAATAAAATTAACTATATTATTTTTAATTATAATTCATATTTATAATAATTGTAATAACACTTACAACAGAGGCATGGATCTCGCGGTTACCATAGCAATAGTATTCGTTGCGATCGCTAGTGATAGTAATACGTGTTTATCTGTATTACAAGTTGATACCTTTTTACTGCTAGTATTAGTTAACTTATCTTTCGAAGGAATGTAAATACTCGATTGATGAATGGATTCTACAATTAAGATGGAATAATATAGATGAACGATACAGAGCAAATGAATTATGTGGGTTGGTTTGTATAAAATCTTTACTTGTTTCAAAATCAAATTAATTAAACATTGAATAATACAAGAAGCGAATATATTAGAAAAAATTTAAAAAATATTTACCTAAATCTATCAATCTATGTTCACTATTATCCCATCTACCATAACATAAATCGATACCACCAAGAAACGCTAGAGATTGATCAACGACTACGATTTTTTCATGATGAGCCCAAAGAAAAACGCCCGCTCTTGCATGATTTGGATGTCTCAAGACTTTTATATTTTCAGGGCATTGTTCCACAAGTCTTTGTTTGCTGTAGTAACTATTTATACCTAAAGCAACTTCAATTTCTTTATATATCAATATGAATATCTTGACACCTTCAAACTAAAACAAAAGTGCGAAAAATTTTTTATATATTAAATATAAATATTTTTTGTTTTGTACACATATAATTTAATAATATGTGACATAATTATAATATGATTGCAATAATTTAATTAATTCTTTAAAAACATAATTAAACAACTTTTAAATAATTTTCTTTACAATTAATTAGTATTACGTTTACTATAATTATATATTTACAATATTTGTACTTTGAAGAAAATATTATAATTATACTCACTGCTTTTCTTTGTAAAATTTTATCTAACCGCCAATAATCTCCATTATGCATTGGTCTTTTCATATGAATTTCTGGTGAAAGCCACCAATCTGCAATAAAAATTTCCTCTTTGGCGTTTTCTAATGCATCAGCCACAGCAGTCATATAATCGGCTCCATCCACAAACCAAGTTGCAAATATAGATGAACGATACGGAGCAAATGAATTATGTGGGTTTGTTTGTATAAAATCTTTACCTGTTTCAAAATCAAACTAATTAAACATAGAATGATCAAAGTTAAGTATAAAGTTATTTATTGCTTTGTTCAATTTTACCTTCTCTGTTACTAATTTCTTGTATAAACTCCATCCATTCCTTAGCTTTTCGTTTTGTCCAACATTTGATAACTATGTGCCTACTCAAATTTGCAATCTGTATTCCACTTCGTGAACCTGTACTATATATTCCAAAACTGATCCCAAAACCATTATCCATCAAAATAACAGATTTTATTTTTCCATCTCGAGTAAGATATGCCACAAAAGTTTCTTTAACGATGAGATGTCTCTTATGCCATTTGCCACAAAGTGAGGTGCACAGATAATTGCATTTGATACAGAAGCCACATTCAAACAAACCACAAAAATTACATCTGGTTTTAGCACCTGATCCAGTCCGTTTCAAAATTGTACCTTCTTTCCCTTTCATTCCTAAGTCTATCACGAAAGACAAACGTGAAATATCCAAAAAATTGATCTGTAAAGAATAATGGTGAAATGCTTCTTTAGAATTCTTTGAAATGATTTAGCTGATTAATTAAAACATACTTACAGTCTCAGGATGACGTCTGTATATTTCTATGTTAAGTAAATTATATAAATAATCTTCTAATTCCCTTTTTCTATGATTTAACTGTTCATAAGGTACTAAAATGTCAGGCTTATTAGGAAATCTATAAAAATATTTAAAATATATTTTTCATTAAATATAAATATAAATATATAAATATAAATATACATATATATATATATATAATTTTTTTATACTTTTCATTTTTACCTTGGCAAAGCATTTTTTTGTCTTCCTTTTTTTTCATTCTTAGTTCCAAGATTCTTTATGCTATTTCTCCTCTCTCTATGACTTTTTGTAGGGAAAGGTATATTCAAACTAGCACGATATATTTTCAATTGATTATGCAAATATTGAATATGTTTGTATCGCTTTTTAATAATCCAGACAAAAGGTCCATGTTTAAATTCTATAGTATATAGATTTGGATTCAAAGGATGTGTAGTCACACTGCGTTCATTATTTATAATTTTTACTTGTATTTTTTCACCAGGAATAAACACATTATAATTTTGACTTTTAAAGTTTAAATTATGTATAACACTGAAGGGTACCATGCCACAAGTTTCTAATAATATAAGAAAAAAGAATATAAGGATTAACGAAACATACTGATTTTTAAAAAAGAATATAAAAAGAATATAAGGATTAATAAAACATAATGATTTTTAAAACAATGAAAATTAAATGAAAATAAAATAAAAATATATGAATGTAAATGAAGAGTATATATGTTTTTATATTATATTGTGTGAATTTTAGTAATAAAGTGAGTAGGAAATTAGATTTTTTAGTAAATAAATACATCATATGACTAAAAAAAGTTACAGATTAAATTTAATAATGTTAAAAAGACAAAAAATATAAATGGAAAATGTATATGAAAGTAGATGTTTTAGTAGTATATATACATACCTTCTTTATTATCTGTACATTCTATTTTTTCTTTAGAAATTTGTATTGTCTTTCCATTCTCATCAACTATTATTTCTAATGAATCAGGTATCTCCAAAGTGTCGTCATATTCAGAATCTTGTGATGTTGTACAAGTTATATCTTTAGACGCAACCTCAACCAATTCAATAGACATTTTGATAAATTTTTCTATAAAATTTTCTATAAAAAACATATTCTTTTCTAAATATTAATAAAATATATATTAATAAAATATATATAAAATATGAGAGGAAGGTGATTTTATAAATTTTATTTTACATAATAATAATTATAAATTTGATTTTGGAATATTTAGACAAAAATTAAACATTCTAATATATTAATTAAAAATTCTAATATAGTAATTAAAGGTCTAAAAGCAGCAAAGTAAATCTTAGATATTGTCTCATACACACACACACATACATACACACGCAGACTTTCTGAATTTCTCACTAAATATAAAAATAATATAAAAAGTTTTTCTTTAAACTTTTTAAAAAAATTTATAAAAAGTTTTATATATATGAGAGATCTTAATATATATATATATATATATATATATATATATATATATATATATATATTAAGAAATTTACAGTTTCTTTCTCTTTCTCTTTGTGTGTGTGTGTGTGTGTGTGTATAAATCTATAAAATCTATAAAAATATGTAGGAGAATAATTTGCTTTACAATTTACATATACTTACAATAAAACACAATTCTAGTCTACAATCTCAATATAGTATGTGTACATAACTGATATATCTTTTTCTTAAATACTTGCACCAAAACGCACCGTTAAAATAATAAAGAATTATCACTGTTTTTTTCTTTCTCATCACTTAATTCAAGTAACGATTATTATCACAATTACTGCGGTTATATTATATGCACAGTTATATAAAATACGTAAACTAAATATTATTTAGCGATAAATATTATTTACGATGAAAAATCTCAAGTTTAGAAGAAATAAAAGAAAGGTTAAGAAATGTTACCGACTTCAACTACATATGCTTGTGATTTCCAGATATTCTACCATTTATCAGTAAGTATTGTGCCGAACCCGAATCGCGTTGACGGAATTACCCGAAGCCCGAAGCACTCCGAAGTCAGTGAGACATATATGTATATAATATCCTTGCGAATCTAAAGCCTCCGTTACAATGATTCTCGAGTGTATTACAATTCAATCGTACAGTCATATCGATAGTCCAGCTTCAGATGGTTATTTTCTTATTTCTGTATTATTTTCGATCGCAAAGCTGTCGTAATCCCTCGAATAGGAATTGAATCTATTCATTTTACTGTAACTATGACTGTTTTGCAACCGAAATTATCACCTCAAGCGATCATCGATACGACTGTACAACTGAATTCTAGATACACTCGAGAGTCATTGTAGCGGAGGCTTTATGTTTTCTTGTTATATCTATCTTTTGTTTATGACTTTTGTATTTTTATGAATTACGTAGATTATACGATTACGTGATGATTCACCATGCGATGACGATATGATTAACTGCCTACTGTGATTCGCATCACATCAACATCAATAATATATTCTTTCTACATTTTCTTATATTTTACACACACACACACACACATATATATATATATATATATATATATATATATATATAATAAAAATATATTGGATATATTTTTTCTGAATATTTGAAATTTGTATGCGATATATTAATTAGTATAAGTGTACTATAAATGTAAAAAAACCGTTTTTTTTTCTAATGAAAAAGATATACAGGATGTCCCATTTTAATGACCCACCCTAAATAACTTTCTTATTTTTAATTTTAGAAAAAGATGTTTTAGACAAAAGCTGTATGGCTTCGAGGGGGACATAAGATGGGACATAATAGTACCATTGGTTTCACCTTGAAGAGTTTGAAGGTCATATTAAAGTCACCTTCAATTTCTTAAATGGGACCTACATTTTTTCATTACATATTCTTGTAGCTTATTTCGAGAGCTTTCCAAAACACTATAATAAAATATTTTTTCGTTGAGTACTTTTCAAGTTATGAGGCTTGAAATCATTTCTTAATTTTACATAAACCGTAATATATCTAGTAAAATGTTCATTTTTCGATTATCTTGCCTTAATACTTTTATGTACAAAATAATGAGAAGAATCGATTGGTCTAAAAAAAACACATAATTGTTTTAGAGAAAAAATATGTAATTTGCAATTAATAATTACATATTTTTTCTCAAAAATAACTGTTTTTTCTTTACACCAATCAATTTCTCTTCATTATTTTGTGTATAAATGTATTAAGGTCAGATAATCGAAAAGTGAATATTTTACAAGATTTTACGATTTATGTAAAATTAAAAAATTATTTCAAGCCTTATAACTCGAAAAGTACTCAATGAAAAAATACTTTGTTATAGTGTTTTGAAAAGCTCTTAAGGCAAGCTATAAGAATATGCAAAAGTATATAGGGTGTTCCATTTAAAAAGTTGGAGGTGACCTTCAGGTGAAATTAGTGGCACCATCTTATGTCGCCCTCGAAGCCATACAATTTTTGTCTGAAATTTAGAGACACTTTCTAGTAAAACTTTTCCTTATGGAGATATTCGACTGTGTCCAGACTTTTTTAACACCGTGTACACACACACATACACACACACACACACACACACACACACACACACACACACACACAAAGTGTTTCTTAAAAATAAGTGCGAAAAATTTTAAGAGATAATTCTTTGTCGAAAATTAAGAGAGGTTTTTCATATAAGCATATAATTCTACAACATTAACTAACATTCTCTCTCTCTGTGGAGTTACACTTTTCCAAAAATGGGGATAAAAATTAGATCTTTATTTTTTTTTCAAATTTGGAACAAGTTAAAGAAATGAAATTAGGTGGATATTTTCTACTAGTAAAAAGTATTTATTAATATTTTGTTCAGTTTCCCATATTGTTATAAGGGGATGAAATTAGCAACCCCTATTCAATTTTTTATTAGAACTTTCTAATGGGCCAGAATATAATCATCTAAAAATATGTATTAAAAAATTTGATTTATTTAGAAACTTTTTTATTTTTTTCATAAATTTAGTAGTTTTCAAGAAAAAAAATAAAATACATTATCGTGCACAGTATGATGCTAATAACATAGATTTCGAATTATGGGAAATAAAATTTTAAAATAAAAATAAAATTAGAGTAAGTATTGGAAAAATTGAAAAAGGAAAACAAAATTATAATAAAAACCTAAAAAATAAAAACAATTTTTATCTCCATTTTTAGAGGAGTGTAACTTCACAGAAAGGGATGTAGGAATATGTTTATTTGAAAAATCTTCCTTAATTTTCGACAAAGAATCATCTCTTAAAATTTTTCGCACTTATTAAGAAACACCTTGTATACCTACAGTACAGAATATTACAGCAATATTATTAATATTGTTGTTAACGTTGCAATAACATTTCAATATTGTTGTAACCCAAACAGTATCAAGTCAACTGTTAGTTGACTGTCAGTCGGTAGAAAAAGTCTAAAGTCGGCTTCAAAGTCAGACTGAATATCAACTTATAGTCGACTGTCAGTCAGCTAATAAGTCGACTTAGAAGTCAATTTTATGGCCATTATAAGTCAATTTTCAATCAATTTAATGTCATGTGCATTAACTACTACATTTTTATTTTAATGTCATTTCTCAAAAACTCGATCGATTTAATGTTCTCTGTATACAAATACATATATGATGGAATTAAAAAAAAATTAACCGTCTGCTGTTAATTACATGGAGCTCTGGAGCTCCTTGCAAAAGCTATAGGAAATGCGGCTATAATATCGCTCTTTAATTGATAAGCCGTGATTCGTAGGACCTGTGTCACAGCCTTATATTCTGTCTTAGATGAATCCCACTTTCGGGTTAGGCATTTTCCTTTTCGCCACCTAGAGGCGAGGCGTGAAGCTCGTGGAAGTATGAATATTTCTATTTATTCATTAGATATTTTTGATAACTACTTAGTGAATATACACTCACACAAAAAACAGGCCACTAAATTTTAGCAAAATTTTTTAATATCTTTTAATAGCAACAAGTCAGCAAAAAATCATCATATTAATATGAAATAAAGTTCAAATTAAACACTTCTCTTAAAAACTAAAAAAATCACAAATTTGAGTTTCACAAAAAATGTTTTACAAAATAACGAACTGCTACAGATAAACTTTGAGAAATAGAAAACAAATTCTTTTTTAAACTGCTGCATTGCTTAGGAAAATCGGCTTCCTGGTGCAAATACTTTAATTATATAATATTGTTACATATAATACAATTAAAGAATAATAAAATTAAATCAACCAAGTCTTTAAAAATGCGTACTTTAATTGAAAATGTCTAATTTAATCGATTTATTGCTGTGCCGAAAGGTGACTTTAAATTTTCTGAAAATGATCGACCTTAAGTCGACTTATAGTCGATAAGTTGAAGTCGACAATATAAACCGTACTAGAAATAGTTGACTAAAGGTCGACTTAAAAAGACGACTTCAAGTTGATTAAAATATGTCGACTATCAGTCGACAAATAGCCATTCGTGCTGTATGGGAAGTTTTAGCGAGACATAATTATTTTTCCAAAAGAAAATATTGTTTCCTAAGAGTCTTATATAAAAAATATAACATATTGCTCATAGTATGTATTCGTTTAATTATGTATTCGCAGTTTTTATTAAACTGAAATATTTTACATATATTGTATAAATATTTTTTAATACATATATTTTGATGTGATTGATTTTTATTATATTTTATTTTAATATATTTTGTATAAGTATTTGAATTATTGGAATCATATAGAAATCAAACATTATCATAAAAATGAAACATTTCTATAATATAAAAAAAAAGAATTTTAAACCGTATTTGTATTACATTTTTAAAGTAAAATAAAATAGACAAATAAAACATGATTTTTGTAAGAAAAAAGACAAAATATAAAAAATTAGTTTGTAAAGACAAACTCATTATGTTGCACACTCCATTGCAACTAAATAAATATGTGCAATCAATAAGCTATTATTAAACATCGAGCTATGATTATGTGATGAAGAACGTTTGTATGAATTTATAGTGTGTAAATGTAGGTAATAAAAACTTGCACATCACATGGCATTTTGCTTTCTCTTTGACATAGATTTCGAGAAACATATCATTATAAAGTCGATAATGTATTATTCTATTGATTGATATTTTACTGAAAGTCGGCTAAAAAATGAAGAAAATGACACACGTGACCTAATTACTTTCATGATATGATTATGTTATAAAATGGGTATATTAATATATTAATACACGAACACACGCATACGTACACACACACACGCGCGCGTGCGCACGCACGCACGCACGCACACGAATATACATATTATATATATATATATATATATATATATATATATATATATATATACAGGGTGTCCTAGATCACCCGTACCCCCCTTTTCTTTCAAAAACTAAGCATTTTAGAGAAAAACGTTTTGCGACAAAAATTATATGGTTTTGAGGGGAACATAAGATGGTGTCATTGGTTTGACCTTGGATGCCTTCGTTAAGGTCAGGTCAAGGACATCTTTAATTTCTTAAATAAAACCACTTATTTTTTATTACATATTCTTATAGCTTATGTTGAGAGCTTTCCAAAACACTATAATAAAGTATTTTTTCATTGAGTACTTTTCGATTTATGAGGCTTAAAATAATAAGCTTAATTTTACATAAACTATAAAATATCTAGTAAAATATTTATTTTTAGATTATCTTACCTTAATACTTTTATGTACAAAATAATGAGAGGAATCAATTGGTGTAAAAAAAATATATAATTGTTCCGAAGAAAAAATATGTAATTTGCAATTAACAATTACATATTTTTTTCTTAAAAACAACTGTGTGTTTTCTTTACACCAATTGATTCCTCTCATTATTTTGTACATAAAAGTATTAAGTTAAAATAATAAAAAAATGAATATTTTACTAGATATTTTATGGTTTATGTAGAATTGAAAAATTATTTTAAGCCTCATAATTCGAAAAGTACTCAATGAAAAAATACTTTATTATAGTGTTTTGGAAAGCTCTCGACATAAGCTATAAGAATATGGAATAAAAAATAGGTAATTCCATTTAAGAAATTAAAGGTGTCCTTGACCTGACCTTAACGATGCCATCCAAGATCAAACCAATGACACCATCTTATGTTTCGAAAACGTTTTTCTCTAAAATGCTTAGTTTTTGAAAGAAAAGGGGTGTATGGGTGGTTTAGGACACCCTGTGTGTGTATATATATATATATATATATATATATATATATATATATATATATATATAAAATACATTCAATTCTTTTTAAATCACGATATAAAAAAAAAACAAAATATATATCTATATACAGAGAATATATATCTATATACATATACAGAGTAGACCATTTTAGTTAATACACGCAAATATCTCAGAAACACTGCATTAAATCGAAAAATGTTTCAGATATAAGTTGTATGGATTGAAGGGGGACATAAGATGGTATCATTGATATGACTTTGAGTGGCGTTGTCAAGATGAGGGCGAGGTTACTTTGGATTTTTTAAATGGAACTCCCTATTTTTTATTACATATTCTCGTAGTTTACCTCGAGAGCTTTTCAAAACTATAATGAAATATTTTTTCATTAAGTACTTTTCGAGTTATGAGGCTTGAAATAATTTTTTAATTTTACATAAACTGTAAAATATCTTGTAAAATATTTATTTTTCGATTATCTTACCCTAATACTTTTATGCATAAAATAATGTGAGGAATCAATTTGGTATAAAGAAAAAACATAGTTGTTTTTGAGAAAAAATATGTAATTGTTAATTACAAATTACATATTTTTTCTCCGAAACAATCCTGTATATGTATATATAGGAAGACCCATTTAAAGCATTACAAGCCATTATTTATAAAAATATGCATTATATTATAGCAAAACGTATTTTAGAGAAAAGATGTTTGAAGAAAAAAAGGAGATATTAGTTTAATCTTAAGCGTATATATGAAAATCATATAAAGTTTAATTTAATTTTTTTAAATGGAACCTAATTTTTTTTTATATAAATCGGCTTATAATATTTGGTATAAGGGGTTAAAAAGTAGGATTACTAAAAATTAAATATATATGGTTAGATTCCTCCATATCTTTGGTGCCATAATGTAAAAGTAAATTCCAATAATATTTTTAGCGGAGAATATGAGAAAAATAGTTAAAAAAATCTACGATCAATAGATATTATTAAACAATATTAATGTTAGTGTAATGAATATGTAATTTCATGACACTGTACATAGACTATGTACGTTTTTGACATTGTTTACCTTTCTTATATTGAAATCAAATGGAACAATATAATGATTGAGTTCTATGTTGTTAATATTTTTTACGACAGTGAAAATTATTATATTTTTACAACTTGAAAAGGGATGTTGTTGAGGCACGTACTTTTCAAGACGAGCCAAATTAGTTATAATAAATCAGAATAGATTTGGGTTAGATTATATTACTATCTAAATTACATAAATTAAAGAAAACAAGCAACAAAGAAAAATATCTTATTTATCTATTATAATATTATGTAAAATGGAGAAAAAGGAATTATTTCTAGGAAATAAATAATAATAAATAATGTTATATTATATATTCAATTACTATATATTTTAACTAATATTTTTTAAAAACATTTTATAATAGTAATAAAAATGTGTGAAAAAAATTAATATTCTATTATATTCTTTTACGTGTATCTAATAAGTAAATTAATCCTTCTGAAAATATTATATCGTGTTTTGACGATTATTTATAAATCAGAGTCTAAACCTTTTAAAATTCTTGGAAATATATTTGCCGGATATCTCTTTATTGGAATTATATCTCTGTTTCTTCGATCATTGTTTCGAATTATTTTTCGAAGTTTTGGTCAATATATATTTATTTATTTATGCGTTTTTATACAAACTATTTTATTCTATTAGATATTTTTTTATTATTAATTGAACAAAATATTTATATTTTTAATTTATATTAAATATTAATTTAAAGCTTATTATTATTTATTTAATTATTTTCCCAAGGATTTAACAAACATTAAAAATATTTTTAAATATAATGTAAATAATGAATTTTTAATATATTTTTTATTGCACGCGTTCAACGTTTTATTTTTAATCATGCAGATTTTATATGTTTCCCGGAATATTTTCTTAATAATAAACTTTATTAATAATAAACTAATAAATAATAATAATGTATAATTATAAAATAAATATTTCAATACATAATATACAGAGTTGAAATAAATCAATATTATAAACTTATATTTGTGCATTAAAATTATTGAAACTTGTTGCGCATACCATATATGTGGCACTTTTATAGATTAAATTTAAATAAAAAACTAACAAGATTTTTATGATAAAAAATAATGCATAAATATACATTTAATCACATTTATATTACAAATTCATATATTTATTCATTTATTTACTTCATTCACATTAAGAATGAAAAAACTTTCTCGACGGTTATATAATCAATAATGTATTAAAAAGTAAAGCAAATATTGCATAAATCGATTAAAATCCGGATTAAGCAATTAAATGCATTATTAGATCAATTAAATCGTGATGTCGAAAAACTTGATTGTTATTGTGTATATGATGTGTGTGATTAGATTTTTCGTTGGAGGCATGTCGTCTTAAAAATTTTGAATTTCTTATTATTTGACCTTAGATTTAAATATTATTATTCATTGTTTGCTTTAGACTTCAAAACTAAAAGTTAAGTTTATAAAAAATTAATGTGACGCATACATCTTAAGTTTCTGTTAAATCACAATCATTTATTGCATAAATAATCGTTTTTATATCATTATTGTAAAAAAAAATAATTTGCATAATATATTAAAAATTATTAAACAAATGCATTTTAAACGAATTTATTTTGTAAAATAAATTTGAATTTTTATGTAAAAAATAGTCAAATTTTAAATTAATACATTAATTAAGTTTTATATTTAAAAAATGATAAATGATTTGAATCGATTCGTATAGAAAATATCTTCCGAAAGAGTGTTCTCTTTATAGTATATTATCTGGTCTTATTCCGTATACTGAAATCCTTTCTCTTTAATTTGTGGTTACAGACTTTTCTTTTATTTCATGCTAGGTCGTATTAAATTGAAACTATTCCATGATCTATACACTCAGAAGTTGACATTTCATTTTAAAAAAATGATTTAAAATAATACTTTCTAAATGAAGCAAAAGTAATGTGCTTCATGTACAGAAAACCAATATCGATTTTTTAAATAAGTATTAATTCAGAATCTCTATTCTAATTAATTATACTAATTACTTATACTATTAATCTGAGGAATATCGATTTATATATTTATCTACTGATCAATAATAATTATAATTGTAAAAAATATAGTTGTAATAAATTGGTATTTAGAAAGCGAGTAAAAAATCCGGTACGTTTAGATTAGTTGATTTAATAGAAATAATGAATATTATATAACAATACCGAAATATCATAAAATAAATTGAATTTAAATAGTATAATACAAAGTATAATATAATTTAAATTATCATTGCAAAGAATCATCATGCATGCCGTCCATTCACTGCCATAAAAATAAGTTTTTTCGTAGTTTTCATGATCTACTTTTCGTTTAATGTTTTTCATTGGCGATAGTAACGACATCAATGAGTATAGCAAGGTTGATAGGCAGCAATGATGGAGATAGTGATGGTAGTGGTGGTAGTGATGGTAGTAATAGTGGTGATGGTGGTGATCGCGTGGTTCTACCACATTCGGGCGAAAGGGAAAATCTGATCGAATGAATTTTTTTTCTCCCGAACGTTGGCAACCGACATTTTTGAAACGGCTGATGTTTGAGCGGACTTGCATTTGTCTCGGAGCGTTCGACCGATTATCGTCTCAACTTCCGAACGCGCGAAAAATCAGCAGCGCATCCGAAAATGCGCCACGTGCATAATCTTATCTAATCATTTTGTTGTCATCCTTTCATACACGTATCCTATGATCTGATTTTTTTTTCATTTGTCGCTAAAATCTCTATTGAAAAAGTGTTTATCTCTCTTCTGCATTCTTATTCACATATAATAACATATTGTGATTTATTTATTCTTTCAACTCAACTGAAGTTTCTTTCCGTTGTTGGAGAAAGTATTAATTGCGAATTGTTGTAGTGAATTGTGTCGTGGCTTGAAATGAAACATTAGACAACTGCAAGGTGAGTGTTCTTGAAAATTAATATATTATTTAAATTAATAAATTATTTTTCAAATATACATAGAATTGAACTTTTGCAAATAAACTATTTATAATCAATAATATCTATAATTAATTATGTGAAAATAAAATGATAATTTGTCATTTATATATAATTTGTCGCTATATTGTGTCATTATATCGTGATTGATTGTGAATCGCAAAACTGTGGCAAAACTGTAGCGTTAACAGACTCAGTAACAGTCAAGTAAGTTAACTGACCATTCTTCAACTGGCCAATACAACTCGATAAACCACTTTCACATGCACGAATCGCCAGCCGTATGACCTCCGTTTCTTATATAAAACTCGAGCACCCGTGTAGTCATAACGATTATTTAAACGTTGAAAATATTTCACTTCCATCCAGTATTCTTTTGTCGTAGTTTCAATGACATTTTATTTTTAGTTTTATAATGATACTTTTGACAACAAGTTAGTTTTACAATTTTAACAAGTTAGTTTTGCGATTTTAACAAAATGAAGCTAGGTTCTAAAAAAATTTTTTAATTAAAATCTATAATCTATAATTAATGCTTCATGCTTACAAAATACATATGTCATAAAAAATGAGCTTAATTGAATTAACATATATTTTTCATATCTCACATTATACGGTTGATTTTTATACATATTGTATAAATATATAAATTTTAATTATAATTATATGATATAGATGTAATATATAAATAATGATACAAGCTATATGTTACAAGCTAATGTATGATAATAATTTCTAAATCAAACTGTTGAGTATATGATTTCACATCTTATTAATAAAAACATTTAAGTCTAAAATTTTGTTATTTCAAATTAACGTAATTCTATAATTCCAAAAGTATAATTCCAAATTTCAATACATCTCATAATATTTGTTATTTTTTGCATTTTGTGATATTTTATTAGCATTACAAATGTATAAACATACAAATATATAAACATTTAAAAATATAATTGCAGTTTTTCTTTGCAGCTTTTGCCTTACAGACTAAGACCTTTCAAAAATTAATCCAATACAATATTGTCGATCGCATATTGCGTGAAAAAAATTTACTTTCTATCGATGCGCAATTATATTCGGTCTTAAAGTTTGCGTAAACTATTTCGCTTCTCTACCTCTTTTTGTAACAATATTATTACCTACAAATATTTTTCTTTGCAAAATGATATAACGTGAAATCCTGTTGTTACCTAACTTCAAGACCTTAAAATCTCTAGTAAATAGATGAGACAATTAATTATATATTCAATTATGTGCTACGCATTGTTGTCGAATTGAAAAATAAAATATGAATTGCTAATGTTATGATTTAAAGTAATTTATAATATAATATAATGATTGTTGATAAATAATAGCATAATCAATATAGATTAACAATTAGAGTAAACAATTTGAATAGTGCAATCAACGTATATTTATGTGTAATTTATATATAATATATTAATTGATTCAAGCACAGTATGCATTGAAAAATAGTTATTCTGTTTAAATATGAAAGTAACATTAGATAACATAATATCACACAACAAATATCTTATAATTGTTATTAATTTTAAAAATATGTAAAGAACATTTCTGTATATAGTATTCTTCAGGATTGTGAAATAACGTATGATATCATTACAGTTACATTTTTTTACAATAAGCTAATAGCGTTATAAATTTCGTAGTCATGATGGAAAAAGTAGCGTAAAATAGTTCAATATATTTTTTCGATTAATGAATTCAACAATTATTTTTATTTTTAAATCTATACGTTGTGATTTCCATTTAAATAAATATAAAGAATGTAATGCAGTATTGTATGAAAACAAATTTTTAAAAAAATATCTCATCTTTATTGTCAATGATCATTCGTAATACATATTTAAAATAAATAAATAGGATTCAAATAAGATTTAAATAAATAAATAAGATTCAAAATTATAATCAAAATTATTATATATTTTATATCGATAGTATAGTAGATATTGATATTTAAATGTTATATAACTTTTATTATGTTTTAACAAAAAATATTAAAAAATATACAAAAAATATTAAAAATATAAACTTTATATATTTTATTATGTCTCTTAATATTAATAAAAATTAACGAAAATTACAAATTACTTTTTAAAATTGGTAATGAGTTACTTTGTAGAAAAGAAATGATAATAGTAACAAATTATTTTATTATATTTTAATTTGAATAATTTTAACATTTATTGCATTAAAAAACATACTCATATCGAAATTATATTTCAATTATATTTAGTTTCAATCAGTTTTATTTCATAGTGAAGTTAAATCATCAAAAATAAAATTATTTTTGGTAAATATTTACTTTAGATTACACAGCTCGAAAAATTTTTATTTTCACATGATTTGTAGAGGATACATTCTTAAATAATACACCGTTTGAATTTTGCGGCGATCTTTTTTCTGAGATATGCACGTTTGAAGTTTCATAACTTTTATGTCTAACTTTATATCTTTTCGTTTCTATGTATGTGTATTTACATTTTATTGTTACATTTGTTCGTAGTTTCATGTTATAAAGTGTTTGTATACTGTGCCTATTAAAAGTTCTGGGACGGTTTCATAAACTATGCATTTTAGAAAGAAATGTTTCAGACAAAAGTTGTATGGCTGGAAGGAGGCCATAAGATGATGTCATTGGTTTGACCTTGAAAAGTCGTTTGAAGGACACGTGAAGGTCACCTTCAATTTTTTAAATGGGACCACCTATTTTTTATTGCATATTCGTGTAGCTTATCTCGAGAGTATTCCAAAACACTATAATAATAGTTGTTTTTTTTAAAAATATGTAATTGTTAATTGCAAATTATAATACATATTTTTTCTTAAAAACAACTGTGTTTTTCCTTTACGCCAATTGATTCCTCTCATTATTTTGTACATAAAAGTATTAAGGTAGGATAATCGAAAAATAAATATTTTACAAGATATTTTACGGTTTATGTAAAATTAAGATATTAATTCAAGCCTCATAACGCAAAGTATTTAATGAAAACTAACTTAATTATAGTGTTTTGGAAAGCTCTCTAGATGAACTAAAAAAATATGCAAAAGCATAGAATGTCCCATTTAAAAAATTGGATGTGACCTTCACGTGACCTTCAGGTGACTCTTCAATGTCAAATTAAAGATACCATCTTCAAGCCATACAACTTTTGTCTGAAACATTTTTTTCTACAATCAAAATTAAAAAAGTTATTCGGGGTCATCGATTAAAATGAGACACCCTGTATATGTGTATATATATATATATATATATATATATATATGTATATACATATATATATATATATATTATATATATTCTTGACATATATATATATATACAGAGTGACCCATTTTAATCTCCCCACCTAAATTTCTCGGCATCTAAGCAAGATAGAGAAAAATGTTTTAGACAAAAGTTGTATGGTTTCAAGGGGGACATAAGATGGTGTCATTAGTTTGATCTTGAAGACCCACCTGAAGGATCAGCTCCAACTTTTTAAATGGGACACCCTATATGCTTTTGCATATTCTTGTAGCTCATCTCAAGAGCTTTCCGAAACACTACAATTAAGTTAGTTTTCATTAAGTACTTTCCAAGTTATGAGGCTTGAAATCATTTTTTAATTTTATATAAACCGTAAAATATCTTGTAAAATATTCATTTTTCGATTATTTTACTTTAATATTTTTATGTACAAAATAATGAGAAAAATCAATTGGTGTAAAGAAAAGACATAGTTATTTTTAAGAAAAAATATGTAATTGTTAATTGCAAATTACATATTTTTTTTCGAAACAACTATGAGTTTTCTTTACACCAATTGATTCTTCTCATTATTTTGTACATAAAAGTATTAAGGTAAAATAATCGAAAAATGAATATTTTACAAGATATTTTACGGTTTATATAAAATTAAAAAATGATTTCAAGCCTCATAACTTGGAAAGTACTTAATAAAAACTAACTTAATTGTAGTGTTTTGGAAAGCTCTTGAGATGAGCTATAAGAATATGCAAAAGCATATAGGGTGTCCTATTTAAAAAGTTGGAGCTGACCTTCGCGTGTCCTTCAGGTGGCTCTTCAAGATCAAACTAATGACACCATCTTATGTCCCCCTTGAAACCATACAACTTTTGTCTAAAACATTTTTCTCTATCTTGCTTAGGTTCCGAGAAATTTAGGTGGGGAGATTAAAATGGGTCACCCTGTATATATGTATATATATATTCTTGAAAATTGCGACTTATGCGAATCTGTTAATTTTGTAATAAAAAATTCAAAAATTTATTGATTTTAGAATTACAAATGTAATATACAGGGTGAGCCATTTTAATTTATCCACCCCAATAACTTTTTTATATTTGAATGTACAACAAAATGTATCAAATAAAAGTTGCTTGACTTCGAGGAGGACAGAAGATGGGTGGCAAAAATTTGACCTTGGATAGTCATTTGAAGGTCACATAAAGGTTATCTTCAATTTCTTAAATGGAACCGCCTATTTTTCATTGCATATTCTTGTAGCTTATCTCGAGAGATTTCCAAAACACTATAATTAAATACCTTTTCATTAAGTACTTTTTGAGTTATAAGACTTGAAATAATTTCTTAATTTTACATAAACCATAAAATATCTAGTAAACCATTCATTTTTCGATTATCTTACCTTGATACTTTTATGTACAAAATAATGAGAGGAATCGATTGGTGTAAAGAAAACACATAGTTGTTTCTAAGAAAAAATATGTAATTTGCAATTAACAATTCCATAGACTCGCATAAGTCGCAATTTTCAAGAATATATATATATATATATATATATATATATATATATATTATTTTAATGGATTCTTTAATAATTTTAATAATTTTAATAATTTTATTAAAAAAGCATCTTAATATTTTTCAGAATGACACGACCGTATACGTTATGTTTGGTAGTGATATTGATGATTTTCGCTGTTATCAAGGCCTCTCGTGAACAGATTAATCAGGTAACTTAATTGTTATAATAATAAATTATAATTACTGTTTATTCTTTTCTTATATATTTAAAAATTTGAAATAAGTGTATCAGAATAATTGTATAACAACTTAATATGCTGTAAATTAAAATATTTTTTAAATTAAAATTATTCAGAAAAGATTTAGAGAAAAATCAATAACAATATAATACACTGTTAATCAAAACATTTCCTACATTTTTACAAAATTATTTAGAAAAGGCAGAGAAAAAATTATTTGTGCATATGCAATCTAAAGTTAAAAAAGGAATAGACGATGAGATATTTTAAATCACATTTTGTATATATATCAAAGAATATATATATATATATATATATATATATATATATATATATAATACATTATACATTATTTTATATATAACTATTCTCTCGTAACTGTACATTTTTAAACTTGTTTTTATGATTGTATTATACAACATTATTTCTTATAGTGTAAAAGTTGAGGAAAATATTGTAGCTTATGTATACATCCATTGATATATATATATATATATATATATATATATATATATATATATATATACGAGAGAACAGTTATATATAAAATAATGCATAATGCATTAGATAGATATATAGAAATTGACAAGATTCATTTTACACGCGTTTTATGTCAAGGATGTATATGTACTTAATATCGACATTTACGACATTTGCGCTGATTTTCTTTCTTTTTTTTTCCACGAAGGCCGTCGACCTAGCGGAACGAGTCGATTCACATTATTCGGTTAAATCATACAGGTGAAATTGCATGCAATGCATGACGCTCGATAATTAGAGACAAAGAAAACAGTTCTTTATAATAATTACTTGTATAACGAAAAAGAAAATCTTCGTATGTGAAATGAGAAATTGAAGACAATATTTCTTTCTCATTAAATTAAAATGTACATTATTATATATTTTTTCAGTTGTATATATAGACTATTTCACTTTATTTTAGTAATAAAAATTAACATAAAATCGAAATAACAAAAAATTTTATTAAGTTCTCAACTGAAATTTATTATTGAGTTTCGTAGAATTTTAATTTGTGATAAAGTAATCTAAATAATAAATATTAACGAATTATATAGCAAATGATTAATTACTTTCAAACAAAATTCGATATCAAATTTTTTAGAATATTTGTTTACTAGGAATTTGTTACTAAGGTGAAAAATTCTAACATACTTTGCATTATAAAATAAATTACAAATTATCTTATAAAACTGTGACATTTATTAGCATATAACGATTATAATTTATACATTTGATATATAGCAAAAATGAAAGTGTGAATAGTCGTGTAAAAGAGAAATTAGAAATATATGTATATTAATTTGTCACTATGTTGAATCATTCATTTTTCTCTTTCAATCGTGTTTAAAAATGTAGTATTAAATCATTTGTTTTGTCTATTATAATTTGTCAGATTTCGAATGCTTTCGCCGACTCTTCCACTGTAAAGGTTGAAATGCGTTTTGATGTGCAAAAGCAATCTTCCTTATGCATTTTTTATCAGATCTATCAAATTGTCATAAATGCAAGTTTATATATGTGTTTTCTCTATAATTTGGCAAGAAATTCGTTAATAAACAAAGTTTAAAATAAATAACATATATATTGATTGTATTGTTAAAATTTTTAATAAAATATAAAATCGAAATTTTTTTTCTTTCTCTTTTAGTTCGAAGCTTACTTACGCAAGCACACTTACATATAGTTTTTATTAAACATTTTAAAACCTGTACAAATATCATTTTTTTATTAAATACTTTTATTTTAAATACATATAAGAAATATTAAAAAAGAAAGATCAAAGAAAGAGAACTTGGAAAATTAATATGTAAAGCTAACATTTTTTTGCAGATATAACACTATCGTATATATTGATTATATATAACAATAATAACACAGACCTGCGAAATTTTAGATTTGATTAATTAGAAAAAGCAGAGTAATTAAATCTGATAGATTTTTTGACGCTGAAAAAAAATCTGGTAGAATTTCTCCAGCATGTCAGGTTTTTGAGTAATTTGTAATTAAATAGTCCAAAAATGGCTATTTCGCCAAAATGGCAATTTCATGAATTTATTATGAGGGAACCTAATTTTTTGAAATATTTCTGTCAATGACATCATATGGTACAATCTTCACCTTTCAAATCCAGTTTCGATTGCTGCCGCACGATTTCTTTTCACTGAGATATACAAGTTATAAGACTAGTCATGCATATACAAGTTATAAGACTGGTCATGCAGTGGTCCAATAAGCCATTCTAATTCAACCATATTACTCTCTGCCTTATAAATCAAAATTTGGGTAAAAACATAAATTTTTTAACACTGCCTGTCATTCTTTAAAATAAAAAACGACGCATCCAATATGACGGGCAGAATCACAATAAAAAGGTATAAAATTTTAAAAAAATCAAAATATGTAACAACTGTATCAGATATATTTTTACAGGACTTTTTTGGACAACCGAATTTGACATATGTAAGCCTTTTCAAATTTTAAGATGGTGAATGCTATATTGTAGCCTATGTAAATTTTCTTTAACATAAATTTTCTTATAACTTTATACCTGTACATCTCGAAAAAAATCATGTAGCGACAATGGAAAATGGATTTGAAAGATGAAGACTAATACTATACGATGTCATTGGCAGAAATATTTTGAAAAATTAGTTTCTTCCATAATAAATGAACTTTGACTTGCCATTTTTGAAATTGCCATTTTTGAATTATTTAACTATAAATTATTCGAAAACCTGACGTGCTGGGAAAATTCTATGGTCAGACTCGTTTTTAGCGTAAAAAATCTATCAGATTCATCTATTTTGCTTTTTGTAACTGGTCTTTGGAGGCCTGTGTAATCAATTATTCTCTCTCTCTCCCCCCCCCCTCTCTCTGTCATGATTGTTATGATGATATACATATAAATTTGAAAATTAAAAGATGCTACTTACAATTAGATAAACATTGATATTTGAATAACATTTTACAATAAAAAATTATAATCTGCAAAATTGTTATCTACTAAATTAAATTTAAATTATAAAAAAATGAATTATTAAATATTGTATAATTTCATTGAATACTTATAATCAATATCCTTATCAAATAAGAAAATCTAGAGTCAAATTTAAGAAAACTACTGTTATTAAATTTCCGTTACTTCACAAACTTAATGTCTAATAGACATTTTAATTCAATAGGATAAGCATTTATGATTATATTAAAGAAAGAATCCAATATGAAATTTTAAAATTTGAAAAAAATGTTCTGTTTCGTTTAATATCTGTATATATCTATCATCATGTATATTTATTATATTTATTTCTATATAAACTTCTTCGTTCAGTTTAATTCTGTGCGTTAATTATCATTATTCACCACTAATCATCATTATTTAATACATATTAATCATTTTTAATTAATGCACATATAAGATTTAATGTACTGAAATTTAAACGAATAATAAAGATAATGTACTTGAAATTTAAACGAATAATAAAGATTCGATATGTATGTACTTTTTGTTCTATATATTGTTTGTTTTATGGTTTCAAGAAACTATATATGTGCCTTTACTTATAGATATAATTTTAAAAAGCTTTATAAATATTTTTTCGAAAAAATATTGATTACAATTTAAAATCTAATAATTTAATTTTACGACACATAATATCACATATATATTGAGTATTAAAATTTCATAAATATTATTCACAAATATTACTTTGTTAGTGTTCATTGTCTATTTTGTAATCTATTGTCCATTTTATCATTGTCTATTTTATTTTCATTATTATTTTTTTTATTATTTCAATTATGATTGTAATTTTCATGTATTTTCAAGAAGGCCAAGAGTTTGCGCACTAATCTATGTATTAATCGGTGTAACAGATACAACGCAAAATGTATATACTTGAGAGTGAGAGGACATAAGGAAAAAAAAATAAATCGTAAGAGTTGCCACGCCTAGTTATGCACTGTTCGCTTTTTAGTGAATGATATATAATGCGTGATTAAAAATATATCGTTTCTCTGTTTATTCTATTTGCTTTATAATACAATTGCGAGTATAATTTTTCTTTCGATATTTTTTGAGTCAATACTAAAAATAAATAAATAATATTATTGTTATAAATAAAAATAAAATAAATAATATTATTGTTAGTATTTAATCGTTAGATACTAGATGATATTAATATTGTAATTCAAAGCAATAAGTACACTTTTTAAATAAAGTGCGAAGTTAATAATTAGTCTGTTGTGCATATCGATAATCTTTACTGAAAGCAAGAACAAATAATTTTCTTATTGATTTAATGATGCATTACGTAAAGCAAATTACATTTCTTATTCTAGAACAGATTATTTTTATAAATGAATTGCTCTTATTGTATAAGTGAATGGCTCTTCATAAAATATGTTAATATTCATCGACATCTTTCAATATCGTCATAAATAAATATATGTCATGAATAAATATGTATATAATAAATAATAGTATGCGTATAGAACCCTCCATTTTTTGTAAACTATGTCAACAGAAATTCTTGCACACAGTTCAAGGTCTTTTACAACATAATTTTTGCAATATCATGCGTTATTAGAGAATATAGTTTAACATATCACACATTAAATATACACACATAAAGATATATATAATAATTACGGTACATATCTCTTCTTCTTCTCTTTTTTCTGTCCTTTATTCGATTCCGAACGTGGTAATCTCTCTTTTATATACCTGTATTGCGCACCAGATTATTACACGTATATGGGACCTACAGTTTAATGCCGATTCCGAACGACTAGATTAGAGAGATTTTCATAGCAAGACTTCTCGATGATTTGTCATTGCCTTCTGAAAGAGGAGCGAGCGTATACAATTTTTCGATTTTACCAAGAATCGAACCCAGGACTTTTGGCTTTGTAGGCTGGTGCGCTGCTTAATAAAGCACAATTCTGCTTCG